AGGGGGCTGGGATCGGGAAAGGTCTTCCAGTCGGGATTCGAACTTGGGATGCCCGTAGCGCAACGGCGCTGCATGTCGGTGCACTGCCCACAAGGATTTTGGCGCTGAGTTAAAGTAACTTTGACCAACCTGAAATGTTAAAATGTGTTAGTATATGTAAAATTAACATTAAATAATATTAATAAATGTTGTAAAATATATTTTTTTCATGTTAGCTATTGCATTATTTAATGTTAACATGGATTTCAACAGAGTCATTAAGTAAAGAATCGCAATGAATCAAATTCTCCCAACCCTAGTAATACTTGAGGCTCTTAAGTAATACTAAACGTCAATCTAAAATAACTGTAAATATCTACAGAAAAAAATGGCGTACTACTTATTGTTGCACTGGTGCATGTGAGTAATTTAAACGACTGGTGTCCAGATGTTTTCATCTTTTCTTAAGTCGCATCTGCATCAAGTTCAAGCTAGGGCTAAAGGTCTGTAAATGATGTCCAGTGACATTTAAGCTCATAGAAATGGAAGCTGGACGATCAGATAAACAATGCCAGAAATACATTCACATGTAGAATTCCTCTCATGTTATTTACCTTCTCGTATTTCCTGCCTATGTCTAATCCATAGCAATCTGCAAGGTCTGCTGTTACGTAATCTTATACCTATTTCAACAGGCGGGTGTCTATCTGATGTTATGTGCATTATGGTAACGGGGTCGTATTCTAGCACACTCCCCCACAGTCACCTTTTGCTTCATTTTTCTTCTTATGTACAGTAGAGCAATTTCCCCTGCAGCAGGGCAGTAACATAAACTTACACATGCATACAAGTTTATAGTCTGGCTGTAATCCTATTTATGTCTCACAAAGTAATTTGTTATACTGCAGAGCAAAGCTGTCGTATTAGGTAGCATTCAGGGACTTATTCGCAAAGTCTTTGGAATCCAGTGTAATGTCGGGGGCTATGTTATACTGGCCTTTCGTTTAATGAAGACTCTAGATCAAGCACCCTTATCCTTATCTAGTGGCTTTGGCTACTTCCTGGTCACTCATGCACAATAATTTCTCTGACATAGTACCTACACTGGGATGTAAGACAATGACTGTAACAACATTATTTCTATAGAATATCATAGAATATCTATAGAAATTAGCAGTATTTTTCTAGTAAGTTCTCTAGTAGTCCCTAAACACCAGTACTAGTGCACTGCCTTAAATACAACATACAACACGATCAGTGTAGTCAGATTTACAGTCAGATTGTTTAGTGAATCAAAAACATACAGTGTGACCAGGGGGCTGTTTCATAAAAGACGCTAAGAAAAGTGGGGATTAAAGTCCAAAACCTGACTTGAAATAACCTAACAAATCAATCGGGACTAAAGCGGTTTCATAAACGACAATTTAAAGGGTTAGTTCACCCAAAAATGAACACGAGTGTGTGGCGGCGCTGACTCAGATCCAGCGTAATGACACATGCTTGCATCATGGTACTGTCGTGAACGCGCGTCCACAAGTGACGCAGTAGAGACGAAAATGTGGAATAAAGTCTTTGTAACTTTACAGTTGAACCACTGATGTCACACGGACTACTTTGTCGATCATCTTGGAACTTTTCTGAACCTTGAACGTGGTAGTTACCTTGCTATCTATGGGAGGCTCAGAGAGCCCTCAGATTTCATCAAAAATATCTTAAATTGTGTTCCGAAGATGAACGAAGGTCTTACGGGTTTGGAACAACACGAGGGTGAGTAATTAATGACAGAATTGTTTCTTGTTAGTTTGGGTGAACTAACCCTTTAAATTCACACAATCTCACTAATTCGATCCAGGTTCAATGAGTCAGGATAATTTGATGTGCACTCTTATTCTTAAGCAGCCCTTATTGTCGATCATGGATCAAATCGATCCACCATGGCAAACAGCAAATATTTGTGCTGTTTAATGCATTTGAGACATTGTGTTTTCCTCAGTGCATAACTGACACATCCCAGGTATATTTTTTACCTGTAAATGTTGGAAAGTCATGCAAATATATCCATTTTGCTGTCAGGAGTGGGCGAGGCTTACGTGAAAACAGATGGAATGCAATAGAATAATGGCGCAATAATTCTGAATAAAATATGCATTCTGCTAAAATATTTTTTGTTGGACATTAAATGTGACATGTAGAATTGTAATCCTACATATAAGTGTATTTTTTTTTATGATAGCAGTAACTGTAAATCAAATGTAAGCTGGCTAATACAGCCCTACTATCTCAAATGAGTTAAATGTGTGTTCTTCTTATCAGTTCAAATGTAGTCTAATTTCTATAATTTATTTTCATTTTTAATTCAGTGGTTTTAACTTTTAATTCAGTGTTTTAAATGCTTTAATGCTTTAAAGACAAATTTTAGATTGGAATGTTTTAATGTTCTACTAATAACCATAAAAGGTACAGCTGTCATAAAACCAGAGAGAAATGCTGCATGGCTAGAAACTGCTGATCAAATTGTATTCATATATCTTTAAAAAAAGGTCATTACATTTTGGGCAAGACACATTAAATACAGTTGGTTGTAGCCTATTTTTTTATTTATTTGATTACTTAAGTTGCATTTTCTGTATGCTTTTATTTGTGGACTAATAATAAAGTCAACTAACTGTATGTGAGAGAGTCAGTGGTAATATCAGTGCATTCCTATTGGTCAGTGTTATAGGAGCTCAGCTTAACCTGACAGTTAGCCTGGTTACCAACCAGGTTAGTTTCCCAGCATAAGTTGCCACAGTGACTGAGCTTGAGCTATGGTAATTTTGCATTCGGAAACCAAATCAAGTGACAATAAGTCAGAATAACTGAAATAAGCCTGGCTTATTTGGTAAACTAGTTTTATGAAACAGCCCCCAGTGTAGCATGATTCATTAACAAATGACTTTTATGATTCTGTTTTAGTGAATCATAAACATGCTGCACAACCAGTGTAGTTCGATTAATGAACAAACAACTCTTCTTTTTGTGAATCAAAAACATACAGTGTGACCAGAGTAGCCTGATTCACTAACACAGAACTCTTATGAATCAGTTCTTTTTAGAGAATGAAAAATATGATGCACGATCAGGGTAGTCCAAGTCACAAACAAATGATCCTCACGAGCTTGTTCTTTTTAATGAATCAAAAACATGCAGTGCTACCTGTGTAGCCTGCTTCATTAATAAATTACTCTTTTGAACTGGTTCTTTTAAGTGAATCAAAAACATAGCAAGAAAAGTTAAGTCTGATTCCCATACTAATGAATCTTAAAGAGAGAGTTCTTTTAATGGATTGTTCAAAAATATAAGCTACCACTTTGAATAAGTCGGACAAATGACACATTCTGAAGTGCAAGTTACCTTATATTATATTCACTGATATCTGTATCGAAAGTATTATGTCAGTATCATTACTGACTGATCGTCCATGTGACAACTTGCCGTTAAACATTTCTTGGCAAGTTCAAATGCTATGTACTGTAAATATTTCCTCAAAGAGGTAAACTCTGTTAGTGACTCATACTGACCATATTACCAAGTAGGACTTCCATAAGCTTACTTGCAAGGTGATTTCTAAAGGTAACAAAGGAACAGCTTCACTCCATGTTCAGTTAAGACAATGGCTCACTGACCTCAGATGAGATCATTGAGACCAGTAACCATGAATCACAATGCCAGTTTTTAATTAAAGATGACTATAAAATACTCTTGGAAAAGGTCAAGAGGAGCTAAATTAGGGAGGGAAAAATTCCTGTGGAGAGAGCCAACGTAGGGTACAGAAGGAAGACGTGCAAGAAAATCACTATTTCCAACCTTCCTTCCCCACCTTACAACCACTGGATGGGGAAAAGGGCCATGTGACATGTCTGAAACATATTAACTCCATCAGCGCCTCTCTAAAGCAACTGTCAGGGTGTCTATGTACAAATGTAGGCCATTTTTTAAGTCTTACAAATGATTTGAGTGAAAATGAATGGATTCCGTTTTAATGATGCACTTTTCAAAACTGGTAATAGCTCATAGAGCAAAATTCAGTGGCTGTGACCTGATACTGAAGTGGACTTCATGGAAATTTAGATATAGTACAAGACTGAGGTACCTAAATAAACAGTGGAAACTGAGTAAGTTCAACTTTGTATTGCCTCAGGTCTCTGGGTTGACAATTAACCTTTCCATAATCAGTCAAAAAAACGTTCTCAATGTGAATGTGCTGTCCTTTACTGACCTACGAAATTGAAATTACATGTGTACTCGGTGTGACAGTATCATAAGTCAGTGACCGCAAAAGATTTAAGTTTGTTCAGGTGAGCAGAACGAAAAAAGCTGTGAGGAAACGTCTCGATTAATTATCATCGTGAGTTTTCCCTGATAAGCCCTCCTGAATACGGTAATTATTTCCACGAGTAAACTTGGCCCATATCTTTTCAAACTAAACACTTTATAAAATATGTTTCCTTGGCTCTATTTACTCAAAAAATATTTTCCCTCCGATTTCACTTCTCGTTTTAGTGGTAAAATACATGCACCACCTACCGCAAATAACTCTCTTATAGAGAAAGGAAACAGAGTACCATTGAGGAAACCTGCACTTCATACTTTAAGGAATTCCACTGGGAGGAGAGGAGAATAAGTGAGAGAACACATACGCTCTCAAGAAAAGAGAGAGAAAAAAACCTAAGGCGAGCTGGCTAAAGTGAGCATGGAAAAATACTAATAAATCATGAATGAAAATGCCAGTCGACACTGAAAACCCAAATCGAGGGGTTGAGGTTAGGCGGTCGACTTTTCAGTCCAGAAAAACAGAACTCAAGATTAAACAGGTGAGATGCAGACGAAAAGGCCGCAGTGCTATTTCCTTCTTTGAGTGAAGGAGGTTTGGAAATCTCATGAAATTGACGATTTGCAGATGGAATGGATGAATTGTCTCTTAAACAAGGGCTTGTACTGAAAGCATGAGCACATATGCTGGTTCAATTACACACACTCACCTTTTCTGCAATGTCGCATAGCCATTTTGCATCTCCTGGACTCGGCGATGGTCGGACATGGTATCGTATCCTTTGGTGGCTTCTTCACAATATGCCGTGTTCGGGTTTCCAGACCCCACTTGAAACCACAGGTTTTGTTTCTTCTGGTGCAGGTCCCCCACTCACTCCACTGGCCCACCTCACAACCCTCTATTGGGTGAAACACAACTAGAATTTAGATTTAAATTTTAAATGTATTTTTTTAACTAGATGATGATGATGATGATGAAAACCATTGATAAAGGCTATGAAAGTTTGGATATGATAAGATACAATACAGTAATATTAGACCTAATGAACAATATCTTTAATCAGATATGTTTAAGGTTTTCAAAATTGAGATTTTAAATGTCTTTTGTGGACTGAGGAACTGAATATTAGAGATAGACAATGTCTAAAATCTATCTTAAACTGGTAGTTGTGTTTGGGAACTTAGTAACTGGTTCTAGCTGATCAGAAAAGGTTATTAACTCTTTCAAGCTGATTGATCAGCCACTATATGTCCCAAAAGCCAGCTTTACCTTCTTAAACTGGTTTGACCAGTTGGTCGCTGGTATTAAAGATGGTCTATCTAATGACAATGACCAGTTTGGAACAACTAATGACCATCTTAGATCGATTACAAACCAGTTATCATGTTCCAGAACAGCTAGCAGCTTCATCTGGATTCTCCAGTAGGCTTGTATAAAAAAGTTGACTTACCTCCACACTCCATGCTGTCCTCCAGAGGAGCAAAGCCCTCTGGACACTTTTCGAAGCAACGGCCCTTGTGCAAGTAAAAACCAGGCTTGCACTTTGTGCAGAAGTCTTTGCTGAAGCAGGCCTCACAGTTATCTATCCTACACCCTGTGAAGAAACAAGAGAGACAGACGTCAGTCGGGACAGCAGACAAAACCTCCTCATCTGGAGCAGACTGAAAGTTGGGGAAGGGGATCGGCGTGAGAGAGGGATTATGGGTTGGGAAAAAGGCATTTTGATGCCTTGTGAAGCTTTTCTCTTTAAGGGAGTGAGATATTCCAGTGCAACTTCTTCTGACATGCATGTTGAGCCAGGGAGTGTTTTTAGGGCTGCATAGAACTCCAAAGATGTGATGACATCCGGAATGAGAAATTACCTCATCATGACCCTTTCACAGAAAGAAAGGAAAGCAGAACATCTCCAAGCATTCAAGAATACAGAGTTAGAAGGAAAGTTCTGTTCTCATTCGCTCTCTTGACCGAGCAAGCGGTAGCATACTTTATTTGCATAAAAGCATTACTAACATAAAATCTTTGCAAATTTTTATCAAGAATGTAACATGAAATTGTTATTTGTGTACGATCTCAGCAAAAAAAACTATGATGAAATCATTATTAACATACAATTTTAGCAATTAATGAACAAGAATATAGCATGAAATAAATTAGCAATAATTAACAATTATTAGCAATAATGTGGCATAAAATCATTATTAGCATAACACTTAATAAATTATAAAAAGAACTTAGCATAGCATTATTATTAAAATAAAATCTTAGCAACTAGGCATTAAAATTAACATAAAATTTAAGCAAAGTTTTAACAAGAATTTAGCACAAAAAAAATAGTATTAGCATAAAATTTAGCATTTTTTTTGCAATAAATTAGTCTCAGCTAATGATGTCTGATGCATATTGCTCACAAAATTGGAAACATTTCAGAAGTTTCAAAGTTGTCATTGGATTGGTTGAATTATACAGGATTTCCAGGAGAAGTGTGTGTTTCGCTTGGAAACAAAGATGCCGTGATGCCAAACCCCCTCAATTAAGAAGAAAGCTGTCGTGTTTACAAGTGTGACGATGAGCGCTTATCAGAATGAACTAAAGACTGGATTTTCAAAAGAATGTGAAATATGTAAAGTTTGCGGCATAGAATCTTTAAAATATGTCTAAGAGTTTTACACACCGGTCTGATATTGTGTCAACATTTCCACGCCCCTAAACATGACGCGGCACAAAATGAAATGTGATTGGTTGCTTTACCTTTCAGTTATATGGCCTCTTGGGCAGGCCTTGGCCATTCAAAGCGGCCAAGGTTCCCAGACCTTCTGCTGTCAGTCTGAAGGTCTGGCTATGCGAGACTAGCCAGAACTTAGCATAAACCATTATTGTCATAAAATCTGAGCAAATTTTCAGCAAGAACACAACATAAAATCATTTTAAAAATCTGAACAAATTATTAACAAAAATATAGCATTATATCAGTATTAGCATAAAACCTGAGCAAATGAAAAAATAATTTAACATACAGTCATTATTAGTATAAGAATTTGACAAATTATAAGCATAAACTCAGGATAAAATCACATTTAGCAAAAAATATTTGCAAAGTTTCAGCAGGAACTTATCTTAAAATCATTAATCATTAGGATACAATTTGAGCAAATTTTCAGCAAGGCCTCAGCATAAAATCACGATTGGCATTAAAATCTTAAAAGGTCACAGTCTAGGCCTAAGTGAACAGATTTAGTCTGGAACATGATGAAGTTCTTCTGTGTTAACATCAGAGTTGGGTGGAAGGGAAAGTGGGGTCAAGACACTGTGAAAGAGGCAATACCGCCGCACCGATCCTCCCATGCCCCGCCTTGCCACAGCATATCAAGGGCAGTGTGCCAGCATTTCATCAAGTTGTGGCTCTGCAAATAGCACGTCAGGCAGAGCGAAATTACATGAGCCACACCAACAGGGCGATGCGCTGGCCTCCATAATTAAAAGGAGCCACTGAGAGCTGTCTAATTTATGGCACTTCTTAAAAGCTTCTTCAGAGGCCCGATTGCCTGATAGGCACTGGATCTCAGATTACAGCTATCTACAACCATGTGAAGCAGGTTGCAGGTTCCACTCAGGTACATCAAGGCACCCTGTTTGTGGATCTTTAGCGGGAAGTTGGTAACTTTTACCGGTCTACAGGTAAGCATGCATTTAAAAGAGAAAATCTGGCACATTACAAAGAGATAAGGCTTGTGATTTAATCTCTGACCCTCTCTGGGTTTCGTGAAGGTTCTCACCATCACACCCCCCTAATTAGACCATCTCCAGCAGACCAGCCTGTCTCCTCAACTACATTCCTTCCCAACAAACGAGTCCTTCCCCTTCTTCCTTTGAACCCCTGAAGCCTCCGCCCACTTTTCCTGATCTCTCACACTTTCTTTAACCAGTCCAAACAATCTCATGCAGAGAAAATAACACACACACATATTGCAGTCCAACAACCATAATCACCATCATTATCACTCCCAGGCCAATGACTGTGATACAGCATTTGTTGACATTTCGCAAATTTCAAAACCAATATTTCTAGTCCTGTATGTCCTGCATGTCAAGCAACACTCCTTAAGCATAATTACATGCACAATAGGTTCAACCTTAATATTTCATTGCTTAATTATTAACAGAGAGATGACAGGAAATCACAGGAGAAATTATGCAGGCATTTTTCAGCCAGTCGTGTTCTAATTCTGCTTTGCCATGCCAAATTTTTCACTGAACCCACTAAATGTTTTATGTATTTTTATTAGTTTTCATTGTAATTATTATTTATTTTTCCTTTCATTGTTCTTTATTTTTTTAAATTTTTTAAATATTTTTCTTCAAAAACATTTCACAATGTCTTTCTTTAAAAAGGTATATGTTTCGTCTTTACAAAAAAAACAGCAGACCTCATTTTTGTTAAACCCTAATATGGAGACTAGACTCGAACTTGTGGTGCCCATGTGAGCACCACTGCTCATGTTCACATGCATTCTAACTGCTAAGCCATGGTTGCAGCAAATATAACGCACGCTTAGACTGAACCGATGAGATTAAAGAGTCTCGTAGTTTTGCTGCAGGGCAAGAATGTAAAGCATGCTATTCAAACAAAAAATAAAAAGTACATCTTCATCATGTCATTGTCTTTAACACCCTTGTCTTTACATCAGCCAAGACACCGGGGCAGAACTGCATCTTTTGTTTGATAAACACGTGCTCTGGCTGGTCAAGTTACACTGTGCTGTAGAGATCTTGGCACGGAGTCTGAGGAGAAGAAGAAGGCCACACAGATGGATCCACTCACTTTTGTTCACAAAGTAATCAGAGCTCTGGGAGTCTCTATGTCCCTACATGTCCAATCTATGACAGGGAGCAACAGCTAATAAATGAGCTTTGTAACAGAAAAGCCGCCTCTGTCCTCCGCCTGATATATTGGCGTCACAGGGAGGCTGTCATCACCTTTTGGATCGCTTACTTCAACAGGGAATTGAGGAGGAAAACGCAAAAGAGTAACTATTGGCACACGACTCAGACAGTGACTGGACTGACTCGTCATGAAATGTCATTTGTCATCCATGATCATGTGCAGATGCTGCAATATCAAAAATCGCTGCGTTGGAATATCAGATAGAAATTAGTAATGCTATACGTATCTAAAGGTGAGTTTGGGTTCAAAAGCCTCATTCGTATCAGTGAGAAGGTCTAGATCAGGGCTCTCAAACCATATAAAATATAATTAGAAATGATTTTAAATAATGTATTCATTTCAAAACTGTAGATAGAGTTTGAGACCCCTGGGCTACAAAAAAGTTCTTCCATTGAGGTGAGATGCAATGAAGGTGGTCTTCTATTCCAATAGGATTAACCTTGGTGCCACTTTTGAAGGCCTAGATGATAACAGGAGACTAATATGACATAATTAGATCACTTGTTGTCGTACAGACATGGGAATAAGGACAGACGGTGGGAATCTGATGAAACCCAATGCAAGAGGGGCAAAAATAAGCCTAGACAGAACATTAGAAGAAGCTGAAATTGCCTACTCTGCTGCAAACTGTTGCTTGAGATTTATGTTTGTCCTTTTTTTCCACTTGGCTTTCAGTGTGGTTTTCAAGTCAAGTGCATGTTGAGTTGAATCATCAAGCTTTAGGGGTGATCTAATCCGGAAAGACTTGTGGTAGGAATGCCTCTCTGCTGTGGTCTGAATGAAACAAAAAAAACAATAAAGCAAATTATACTGTGGACATTCGAGCCAGTGTCATATGCAAGCAGCTGTGAACCACGTTGGTCAGGGCTGTTGAAAGTTTAAACATGTAACAGTAACTTCTTTTTCTACAAAAAATCGACTTTTAATCCTGTATGGCAGTGCCTTGTAAACAAGGGGTAAATTTGGTAGCCGGTCCTGAGGTCACAGTAACCAATGCATAGCATTTGGCAGCCATCTGCGGTGCAAAAGGGATGCCCATGCTTGGGGAGTGCTAAATCCGGCCACATTTTTCCATTTCTCGTACTGAAAGTGCCTCGCTGAAAGAGCCTGTCCCATCTGACCTGCTTTGTTTATGGTGAGCACATTATGTGGTTGACTTTTTCACACCCAAAAATGTCATTTTGCTGCGCCAGTGGGTACAACAAGCCCTCTGGGTTTTTCTTAAGGACCTTGGAGCATCTATTTGCAGCTTCATGCAAGAGAGGAAGCTACATACAAATTTATTTAGATACTTAACTGTAAGTTTACCAATTTTCACCAGCTTTGTGACTTCTTTGGAAGTCTAAGAACCATAAAATGTCAGTGCAATCATTGCATTCAGTCCAGTGTTTAGCCGGTGAAAAAGAAATTCAGATTCTATTACAGAACTGTAAGCCAAAATTCAAAGACTTGCCAAAATACACGGAGACAGACAACGGGGTAAAACAAGGGTAAACAATGGCAGTGTTTTTACAAGATGGAGGAATTTGATGGAATGTTTGGGTTTCAGTTGATCCAACTGACCTTGCAAAGATTCTTCTCGACAGGTAAGCTAAACTTTAAGTTAAAAAAAGTATTCGTAATATGTTCAACCTTTGACTGAAAGTAACATA